CTAGTCATGCATAATCACACTAACCTTTGGCAAAATAAACTCTAGTTCTCCCATTTCACTGCGCGTTTGCTTAAAACACACAAGAAAGAGGTTGCGAAATTCTGGTATCTGGCGCACGCCGACTTGGTTGCCAAACAATTAGCTCGAACGGTTAGCGTGACGTCACATGTTTTTAATCTTGCTTACACCGTACGCAGCACCGCTGCACGCGTTCCTTGCGGAGAGGCAACGCGAACGGTCGCAAACACACGGAGAATGAGGAAAGTTTGAACAAACATTGAGCGTATTTTCCAATGCCTTTATTAGACAACGGTAGTGAATGGAGCGGAACTAGAGGTTTATTATTGCATATGGGCTAGTATGATTCTGCATGGAAACGAAGTATTTGCTTGTCTAGTACTGTGAGAAATTAGCGTGTAGCATGCGCATAGTGCGCTTTAATTGGACAGTGCGCTTACTATACGTGACCGCTGAAAGATACATATGCCTTCTGCCTTCCTCCCACAGGAGTGCACAGCTTCTGTCTATATGCTGGAACGTTTCGACGGTTCGGTAATTTGTTTGCACGAAATTAACGGTGACCGCAGAATCGTTGACTAAACAGCGCACTGCTTGATTTGTTGGCTTGTGACTGTGCTGTGTGTGTGTGTGTGTGTGTGTGGTGTGTCGTGTGTGTGTGTGGTGTGGGTGCTGTTGTGTTGCGTGCAGTGCGTGTGCTGCCGTGCGTTATGTGTTCGTAGGCTTGTGCTGCTGCCTTGCCGCTAGCCACATAAATTGCAGATAAACTAGAATCGTCTGTCAACTGCGGCCGCGTTCAAAGAGCACACGCAGCCTAAAGACAGTACGGCGCTTGTCCTAACAATGATAATGCGTTTATATAGCTAAACACATACGCTGAAACCTGTGCAATTTTGCCCAGCTTATTAACTGTGACCGTTTGTATCAGAGGGTGCTATCAACAGCAGTAATGCATTTGTAGCGGCGTTCGCATCGCGATGTGCATCTGCCACCCTTCCAAACAGCATGCCGCCGATGCTTAACTGAAATACAGGACGCTTTATCAGAGTTTAGCGGTAATTGTTTGTCACCGTGTTCGGCCTACTTAAGTGCGATTGACCATAGACAATAACCATACTAGAGCAGGCTTTCGCGACTTTATATTATATATATACTTATTATACTATATATATATATATATATATATAGAGAAGGAGAGAGAAGCGAGAAGAGAGAGCCCGAGCGCGAGAGAGAAGAGAGAGAGAGCGAGATCAGGAGATGCGGAGAGAGGGCGATGATGAGAGAGAGAGAGAAGAGAGAGAGCCGGGAGAGCGAGACGAGAGCGCGCGACCAGGAAAAGAGCCCCCGGGAACGAGAAGAGCGAGAAAGAGGAGAAGAGAGAGAGAGACGGACGAGATGGACGAGAGAGAGAGGAGAGGAGAGGCGAGAGACGGAGAGGACTGAGAGAGGGAGAGGAGAGAGAGAGAGACGAGAGGAGAGACGGAGAGAGAGAAAGGAGACCAGCAGAGAGAAGAAGAAGTTATTCCAAGAATGAGAGATTGAGGAGGAGAGAGAGAAAAGAGAAAGGGACGACGGAGAGAGAGAGAGTAGAGCATGAGACGGAGATGAATGAGAGAGAGAGATAAGAGAAAGAGGCGCGCGCGAGAGATTAGAATATTCTATGGCATTGGAACAGAGTATTGAAGCGAGCGGACAACATGCCAATTTTCTGATGCAGGAGATAAACTACCTGCGAGTTATATAGCAACCAGATTCGGAACACATACCTTAATCCAGCCCGCCGATACGACATAAATATACGAGAATGTATATCGGGAGAAGCAAATAAAGGCAGTGGCCTTCCTATGTTTGCTGTAGTTGTACCGTGTAACGCACTGCCTGCAACGACAGATAGCCGAAAAATCGTCCACTTCGATGCTCATACAGAAATTTCAATGATATTGTTCATATAGGAGAGCGAAGTTAGTAGAACGTCAATGGCGGTTCGTTAGTGTGGATGATGAGTCTATCATTGCTCGCTCTCCCCCGCCATTGTAATATGTCTATACATTATATAACATTTACATTGTATATATATTGCATATATTATTATACTTATATAATTATATATATATTATATTGGTATATATGCTATATATATGTATAGTACATATAATATACAGAAGTAAGATAATAGCGAAGTAGCATAATAGATTCCTTAATTATTACTCTCTGATATATACTAGCTATATGTCATATATGTCATATTACATGTCATATATGATCATCATAGTCATAGATATCGATATATATATGTATTATATATAATGTATATTACTATAATATACATTATATATGATATCATACTCATCATGTACATATTCATATATGACTTATAATTTATGCTTATACATTATATGCAGGAGATCTATCCAATCCTGATTAATATCCAAGAGCATATATGCTACGATCAAACATGAAAATCTGCAATGGCCAACATGCAAGTTGCCATAGATCATCAGTAGAATATCTCGCGGGGTGTTATGCGATATGTCAGGAATCTACGTCCCGTCGTAGTCAACGTGATTCGCGACCGAGAGCTCCAGTCCGGCGTCCGTGAATACCGCATGAATGTTTCATCGGTTACCATCGTACGCGTGCACGTATTGTAATCGTAGACTGTTTACGTGTGTATGTGCTGTATGTATACATTAGCTTACATCGAGGAAGTCCGTATAAGGGGGGGGGGGGGGGGGGGGGGGGGGGTGGGGGGGGGCGGGGGGGGGGGGGGGGGGGGGGGGGAGCCTTTCTTAATATCGCTCTTGATTACATACATCACACACATGCACTTCATGCAGCGCATGTAGCGACGTATTGCGGACTGGCGCCACCTGCTGTATGAGTAATGACATAGCACTATACACCAGCGCGCGTGGTTTCTCGTCTCGTCTCTCGTCTCGCTCTCTCTCGTCCTCTCTCTCGCTCTCTCTCTCTTCGCTCTCTGGCTCTCTATCTACTTATAATAGGGAAGGAGCCGCAAGTGTCGGGTTTACGTATCTCCTCCGTAAACCGCGTGCCGCGTGTCGCTCGCGCGCGAAGTCAGGAGCTGGGGCCCTTCTGGACGTCGCGAATACATTCTGCCTACGTTCGAACGCGATTTTCGAACCGTATAATTAGTGATCTTTTTCAGGCAACTTCCTAAAAATTTATCGTGCCCGATAAGAAACTTCGGGAATTCATCGGCGGAAACCCGCACAACTTTTAGATCGCAAAATCCGCCATGCCGCATTGCAGTCCAAGCCCGCTATTTACGTGAAATCACCTTGTGATTGACGTGCTCTCATCGCAAACCCGCCACCAAATTTTAAGATCGCTCAAATCGCAATGCGCCAGTCAATCACTAGGATGTGAATCACCTGTACCGCAAACAGTGCACCGGTCAGTCGTGCGCGGTGTGTACAACTGTACACTGTATGTTATGTATGTTATGTATGTATATGCTGTGAATGTGGCTGTGTGGGTGGTGTGTGTCTGTGTTGTGCTGTGTGTGTGTGTGTTGTGTGGTGTGTGTGTGTGTGTGTTGTGTGCGTGCGTGTGTGTGTGTGTGCGTTGTGTGTGACGTTAGTGTGCTACAACTGTACCATGGTTGTATTGTATGATAATGTGCTGCGAATGTGGTGTGTGTGTCGCTGTGACGCTGTGTGTGGTGTCCGGCATGGTGTGCGACGAGTTCTGTTGCTGTGTGGTGTGTGTGTGTTTGATTGCTGTGTGTCTGTGTGTGGCGGCGATGACTCTGTGTGCGTGTTGTTTGTGTGTGTGTGTGTGTGTGTGTGTGTTGTGTGTGTAATTGTATGTGTGTGTGGTGTTCCCGCGTGGCGTGTGCGAGGGACGTGTGTGTGTGCTCCGAGTCACCGGACCTGCGTGTGTGTGTGTGCGCGCCCGTGTGTGTGTAAAATAGTGGTATGGGTGCGCGATCTGTGATTGTGCGTGCGATGGCCTGATATGTGTGTGAATGCGGGTGTCGTGCGTGCGTGCGCGCGTGTGTGCAAACATTTGACAAACTGGGGGTGTAACCGTGTCGCCGCTTACCCGAGCTCCCAAGCTCTTACACATTTTTAGACGGCCGTTCGATTGTCTAAGGAGCACACACATACCACACATACATGCCATAAGCATTTGAAATTGTTGTAAATATTAAGTGTTACATTAAATATCAGTATTTTTCGTTTACTGTCAAATTACAATCCTCAACTAAAAGTTACGAAAAAAATGGTTAAACCTGCCATTCCTCAAATCATACACCTAATCAAAGCAACCGTCTGGAGGACGCGGTAAATAGCTAGTTATATATATATATATATATATTAACACCGTTGGAAGTAGCGATCAGATAGCGAGAATAATGATGGGAAGCTGCGCATGGTGGAAAGCTTTCAGCCTTCATTTTCGGCTCGTGGCTTCAGTTCATGGCGAAGTATGCTGTTGGAATGCCTCCCCTCTTCGCTTAATACTCCTACCTCCCCTGTCTATTTCTCGCCCACTTCCTCATGCCCCTAACCCTCCCCCCAATTCCCGCCCAACTCCCCTCCTTTTCTGTTAACGCCTTCCAACTCTTGCTACTCCCATCTCCTTCTTTTTTTATCTACTTCCTCTCTCACTCCTTTTGTATTCGCCTTACTTTCTACCCCCTTCCCTCTCTCTGCCACCTCCACTTCCATATTCCCTGGTACCTCCCACCTTTTCCTTTCCTACTCCCTTGAATTCGTTGTGTTCCATTCACACACTCACACGCTCGCACGCACGCGCGCACGAAGTTGCCACGAACACACATATTTGCACTCGCACGCACACACATACGCACGCACGCACGCGCGCACACACACGCACGAACACACATGCGCACGCAAATCTACTAGCATTCGAGTATTGCAAACACTAGAGGCGGGTCAATGTTGTCCCCTCGTCTTAAACACGAGGTTCAGCAGAGACAGTGAGTACACACTATGCCTCGCGAGGGTAACGGCACCTCGCCGGACAGCTCTTATGGGAGGAACCAACTCACGCTCGTTCTCAGTCTCAGCCACTCACTGTCATTCAGTCAGTCAGTCAGCCATTCTCTCGCCAGAAACGTACACAATAAGGCCGTGGCTACACAATATATATATATATCAGGAGTAGATAATAGTTAGCTGTCACACAGAATGTTAGCTGTCACACAGAAACCTGCTGGAAGATTTCAGATTTATCGCGTTGACGTTTATCGCCAGGGCCAGGAAGGAATGCCTGTGTGGTGAAGTTTTTTTTCGGGTTTTCGACGGTATTGGGTAGGTGGGTTGGTAGGGTAGGGGTGGTTGAGTGGGGGGTTAGTATTTACGAGGGAGGGGGCGAATTCTGAGGCCACGGTTCGTTGCGAATATGTAGTGCGAGAAATTGTTGCTATTTTGTGATTTCTGGATGCGGGCATTGAAAAGTAACCTCTTAATTACTTTGAAGAGAGCTCTGTGAGAAAGAAGTTGCTTGAAATTATAAGTTAACATCTAAATCGCTATCTAGGTACACGCAATGTTTGTGAAAAAAGAGAGCTCACCCACACATTTTCTTCGCGTGAATACGTTCGGTCTGCATACATAATTTCCCTTGCATGATACAACTTCATGCTCGATCAGGAAAGAGGGGTCAGACGTATAGGGATCGTAATTTTGTCATGATAATACATCGAAGTATAGAGTATTTTACTATTCAAATTGTTGTATTAATTAGGTTACATATTAGCTGTATCATGTGTTAATTTATGTCTTAATTCATATTGTTCTTATCGGTTCTCTCGTTTCTATGCCTTATTTCCTTCTTACTGCATAAATATCACGGAAATAGCTATTTTAATGGTTCCCTTGTATATAAAACTACATGCGCCTATACCCGAACCGTAGAAATATGTTAGCTAGGTATTCTCTATATTATTTCTATGCCCCATGCCTTGAACACAGTGGTGTAGCATAAAATACTGTGGTCACGGTAGAAAATTCAGTCCTGATAGCTAATGCTGCCACCTAGTGCAAAAGTTAAGTATTTTCGCAGATATATTGTTAAAGCTCATGCGAGGTGAACTGAAATTGTTAGTTGTATACTCTAGTGTTTAAATTCTGAATCTAAGCAGTTATTTTTCTCTCTTTGAATCTAGGTTTTTCGTCGTCAAAGATGGTTTCCTGCTATATTACCCTGAGAGTGAGAAGAAGGACTTTGAACGTAAACGAGCTTTTAATATCCATCCAAAGGTACCTCCACATGATCTTACAAGAGCAAACTGGATAATTGTAAAGGCAATTGTATTATTGGGTAGTCAAAAGGGCAAAGTAATTATCCATGCAATTTTGGCTTAAATATTTTCACATACTTCACAATGTGTAATTATATAAGTTGTTGTCATGTTATTATACAATATTATAGAAAAAAAGATTAAATAAAAAGGAACTAATTAAGATGTAACTAATTAAATAATACTATGTATATATATATTATAGTATATATTAGTAGATTAGTATATATATTATACTATATAGTTGTACTATTAGTATAATAATATATTCATCAATTGGTTAATAAAAATGGAAAAAATTACATGAAATAAATTGAAATATACATAAAGTTGGCAACTATAGTATAAGATGCGATTAGGTCACCTGCATGTTGTTTTTCTATGTGACCATTATAATTTTTACAGGGTGTGATACCGCTTGGCAATGTCACTGTCGAATCATTGGAAGAGATCAACCAAGAATACTGCATACATATCAAATTCGAGTCTGGGGTAAGTAGGTCTACACACAAGTTGCATGAAGACAATGTTGAGCCACCACTGTGCAGGAACGTAAGTTTCGGAGACATTTGATGTGCGGAAAAATGTGTGGTGTGTCAATGCACATAGCAGGCATGCACACGTACACACGCACTCACACACTCGCGCATCCACGCACGCACACACACATGGATGCACTAACACATAGGCATGTGCGGACGTGCATGCCTGCGTGCGTGCATTTGTGATTATTTTAAGCGCTCTATATAATATAATGCGAATGAGACCTAATCATTATCACTATTAAAATTTAGTTATCAAGTAAAATTATTCGCGACACCCATTTTAGTTGTACATGTAGTTCAGGTTTAACCAGGTGACCACCAGGTTTAACACTTCTTCAATGCTGTTGCAGAACTACATGGCGCTAGCAGCAGAAACGGCGATGGCACGCAACAAATGGGTGGAGGTCCTCACACAGGCTAGTCGTGTGTAAGCGCCCTCTATATTCAGTTCAACAATAGCATCATTCCATTAATTACCAACTATTTACCAACGAGCATTTATGTCCAATGAAAAGAAGAAATGTTGAGCTCTATGATTGGTGTAGACGTACTATTAAAAAGTCATTAACTGTGATGTATGATTTCTTACTTTTACTATAATTATAATCAAAATTCTCATGACCTTTCAATATTAGTTTGAGCTCTTTATCATAATTCTGACGCTATTTCGACATAACCTTCACAAAACAATGCCATGACTGTATTTATCGTGGGAGAAATCTTCCTCTTCACTTTGCGTGGCCTTGTGGGCGACCTTGAAGTAACTCGAGGTTGTGCTGCCGCTGTTAAATCTTGGCTCTAGAGTCTAGTATCATACTTCATAGTCCTCCTTGCCACTGCTGCATGTTATACCTATGGCAGTGGAAACGACAGCTATAGTTTTAGAGATAGTGGCGAGTGTTGCCTTTCAGGGGCGAAACCTATCATTTAATAAAATAGAATAATTATTATTAATAAATTAAATTTGAATAATTAAATGGTTTATTATTTGGTTGTGACGTGGGCTGGTGTGATCTGTTGTTGTTGTTTTGTGTAGAACGTTGCTGAACACAAAGCTGAGTGAGAACATGATCGAGGAGCTGGAAATGCAAGGCCTGCAGTTCTGCAAGGAGCGCGAAGATTATCACTGTAAGTCGACGCACTCCCCTGTGTGCACGCTGCGCCGGCGACACCTAGCGGCCGTTCGCGAGATGAAACCCGCGGCCATTCCTGTGTTATAATCTATATTGATTTGGGGTTCAAGTCGCGGGCTGTGAAAAGGTGATGTGTAGAGACACCTGAAGCTAGGTGTCCTAGTTAGGTTGCAATGTTGGATGTAAATGGTATGGTAATCGTTTGCTAATGATTAGTAGCGCTGGCCGATCCATCCATATGCGCCGATACATGCCGATACGTTTGCGTGTACCACTACGTTTGCGTGTACCACTACGTTTGCGTGTGCTGATACATTTTGATACCTTCACGCTTGCATCCGTTACAGGTCAGCTTCAGTCGGAGACAGTCGCACTCAGGGATGAGATAACGCGGAACGAGGTAAGCAGCAGGATTCCATCCCTCAATCTGCCGTCGCCTTAACCAAGCTGACCTTCCAACAATGGGGTTCTTAACCTGTGGTCCATGGACCCCCTTGGGGTCCGTAGATGGGCTTCAGGGGGTCCGTAGTGGCACCTTAAGTCATCCTTATTCCGTAATCACCTTATCTGCATTTTTCTGGGGAGGGGTCAGCAGCTTTCACCAGATTCTCAAAGGGGTCCATGACTCAAAAAAGGTTAAGAACCACTGTTCTAACCATTGCTGTACACGTCAGTCGATTGTGTTTGTTTTTATCTTACCTCGGCTGTATAACACGGGTCAAGAACTATTAGGTGGGCTGGAACAGAGTGATACTATGAGGAATTACTACTACTAGTCACAAAATACTAGTTTAATAATAGATAGTAACATTAGGAGCTGTGCGATTTGCAGTGACTCCGTCAAAGGATTGCACTGTCAAGTCGAAGAAGAAATTACAGTTATGGTTCTTTGTCGATAAGTTTTGGTAGCCATAAATATAAAGCATAGGCGCACATCAGCCTATGCAATGCAGCCGAGGATTTTTAGTGGATTTGTACGAGATTTGTATGAATGGGCTTGTGTTTCCATGCCACCAGAGGCAGTGTGGGTGTCAGTGTAGGGTTGTGTTGCCTCAACATTCTTCACTTCTCACACACTCACATTCTTCACATTCACAAGATTCTCACACTTCTCAGATACAGTGTGGGTGTCGGTGTAGGCTTGTGTTGCTATAACATCAGATACAGTGTGGGTGTCGGTGTGGGCTTGTCTTGCTGTGCCCTTACTGCTCTGTTTCTTTGTAGGAGCTTGCGAGGGTGACACTAGAGCTGGAACAGGAGAAGCAAAAGATGGAGGAGGCGACGTTAGACCTTCAGGGTGAATGTGAACGCATCAAGAGGTGCGTATTTTATCAGTCTGCCTCTTCTCTGCTTCCTTCCTCCTCTCCTCATGCGTGCTATCTCTCTCTTTATCTCTCACTCGTTCTTTCTCTCCCTTTCTCGCCCCCTCTCTTTCTCGCGCCCTCTCTATTTCTCTCTCTTTCCTGCTCTATTTCTCTCCCCCCTCTCTCTCTCTCTGTCTCTCTCTCTCCATCCCACCCCTTCCTCCATCTCTCCCTTTCTCTCTTAATGAGATTAGGGGTATCCTGTCAGATTTATCTGGAAATCTCAACCTGGTTTGACATGGAACTGATCTCTGAATAAAAACAAATGCAGCATACGGCATAGCTTCACTCAATCTACAACCCTACTTCATACAAGATGGATGAGGTGTTAACATTACCGAGAGTGTATTGGTTGGTACAGGGAATGTGATGGGGAGGTAGGGCTCTCTCTCTCCTTCCCTCCTTCTATATCTTTCTCTCTCTCTCTCTCTCTGTCTCTGCCTTTTTCTCTCTATGTCTCTGCCTTTTTCTCTCTATGTCTCTCTCTATCTCTCTGTCTCTCTCTGTCTCTCTCTGTCTCTCTCTTTGTTTGTCTCTCTCTCTGTGTGTGTCTCTCTCCCCCTCTCTCTCTTTCTCTAAATTTTTTCTACTTATGTTTCATTGCTTCAGTGAGCTGGAGGATGCAAACGACCAACTGCAGGGCCTGGAGACGGAAAGGACGAAGATGAAGAACTTGACCTCTGACCTTAATGCTCAGCTAGAGGTCGGTCCGCTTGACGTTCAAGTGTTTCCTTTTATCATTTTTGCACGCACAGCGATGGCCGATCGACAGCAGATCTGCTGTTTTTTGTTATAGGGCAGTCTGTACTGCTTGTGTGGTGAAGTTACTGCTGAGATGGGAAACGCATGCATTTTACTGCACGGCTGTACCAGAGTTATAATAAGTGCAGAATTCTGTAGTGTGCAATGGAATGAAGTTCAGCTTCCATAGGTGGTGTTGTGATAATGTTTGACGCCCACAACTGGTGTTATTATGAGAATTAAGTCCTGTAGTTGGTTTTATAACTGAGTTAGTGTTCTGCAGCTGGCAGTGTAGTGTAACTTCCATAGCTGGTGTCATGAGAAGGCCTGCTGACGCCCATAACTACTCGTATAACAATAGGAGTAATGAGATCAACTCTTGGAGCTAGCGGCAAAACGAGATTGAACTCGTGTAACCAGTTTCGATCACAAGGTTGACTTTATAGCTCGCATCAAAGTTTTGTTATCGCACGTCTGACCGAGGTTTGACTTCTATGCATCAAGTAACGGTTTGACTCTGCTGTGCATTGTGCTGACATTCCTCACTCACCTGTAGATTACAATCTGCTGCATGAGCTGTCTGCATTGTTATAAACTTCGATCCCTCAATGTTACCATGACGATGATTGACAGCGCCCTTGGGTGGCGACCATCTCAGTCATTATTTATATTCTTTAATTCAATTTCAATGCAATTTTGATTTCAATAGATAACGAAGTTTGACCCTCTGCTAATATAACCATAATGAGGAATGACAGCACCCTCGGGGGTGACCGTCTTGCTTTCCACGCACTCTCTTATTGTTGAATTAATTAAATAATATTTAATTAAATTTTAATTTCAATGTATAATGAAGTGTGACCATCCCTTCCCCGCTATAACACTTACAAGGTAACTTCAAGGCTACAAGGACAACACCTTCGGATGGCTCTCGCTCTCACTCACCGCTGCACACTCATTATTTGATTATTCATTTAATTTTTGATATAATTTTAATTTTAATTCGTGAATGAAGTTGGACACCCACCCTACCCCGATAACCAGCTCTCTCGATGATGGACACCTCACTTAAGGCCGCTACGCCTTCTAAATTTTTAATTAAACAATTAATTTTTGATCTAATTATTATCTCAACATGTAATGAAGTTCGACAACCGCCCCACTACGATAATCCACAACGTCCCTCTTTCTCGACTCTCTCTCTCTCTCTCTCTCTCTCTCTCTCTCCTCTCTCTCTCTCTCTCTCTCTCTCTCTCTC